ACACCCTAAACCCTACACCCTAAACCCTAAACCCTAAACCCTAACCCCTAAAACCAACCCACAACCACACCACAGAGGGGGGGGGGACCATTGGGGGGGGGGAGGGGGGGGGGGGGGGCAGGCCGCACCCGCATCATATATACCCCGCCTATGAATAAAACCCTAAAGCCACCCCAAAAGCTACGCACTGTACATCCCTACAAATCAAGCCCCTAAAGAACCATCAAGAGAGCGTTTTCAGCCCCCTGCCGTCGCAAGTTCGGACCAGCACGGGTCAGGCGGCGCACGCCTGGGGCGCCGGCGGCGGGGGTCCTGGCTTTTGGAATTACATGTTGGGTACGCTAATCTAGGGTCACGTTTGGGGCTTACATATATATACATATATATATATATTGATTTATCTATATAGGAATAAAGGACCCAAGAGATTTTTCCTTGATGCATTCGGAGCCTGTAACTGCTCTAGCACCGCGGCTCCAAAAACCCGAAAGCTGCAATCCCAGGGGCCCTGAACCCCAAATCCCATGGGACCCCGACTCCTGAGGCTGTGGCCATGGAGCTGCTTTCCGAGCCCCCGCGCCCCACCGAGCGCTGCGGGCGCGGGCCTCGGGATGACTGGACGTGCTGGTGCTTAAGGCTTGAGGTGGACTGAGGGAGGGAATGGGCTGAATAGGGGCGCACATGGAGAAGTCGAAGTCGAGTGTGGAAAACTCATACTGTAAGAGCCATCAGGCTTCATTCCTGCTTCATGTGATCATCGCGGCTGTTGTTCTTCAAGCGGCGATGGTAGTAGGGGTGGCATAGGGATATTGATGGTTGGCAGGGGTGGTACGATTGCCCCAGAATTGGCACGCCCTACGATCTGTTAACCTAAACTTAAACCCTATAAACCCTATAAGCCCTCTAAACCCTATAAACCCTATTCCAGCCCTTGCAGATGCTAGGCTCTGGATTTTCGCCGCAGGGCGTTTTGCGCGCGTGCTCGGGCTTCCACGTGGGAAAGGCCGAGTGGCGTGGAATCTGGCATAGGTTTTGCGGTACGAAGCATGCCAAGACCGCCTCTGTAACCTAAGGCCCTAAACCCTCAGTCCTCAAACATCCTACAACTCAAAAGAGCTCACCAAGCCTTTAAGAGATGGGTGGAGTATGTTGCGCTGAGTTTGCCTACGTCATTCAGATGCTGCAATGAAGAGCCTTGAATTATAGGCTTCAGGGGTGTTGGAGCTTTCTTGTGCGGTAGATCTATGAACAAGAAGGAGGCGCGATGTACTTCGTTTGCTGCATCATGTGGCACAAGCTCGAGCTGTGGAAGTAGATTGTGTTTTGCATCCGATTTGACGATGGGAAAACTGCGTTTTAGATTGGGTTTGCTGGTTGACGCTGAGGGGCGCAGGGCAGTCACTGTCGTTCCAAGTTAAAGAGGGCTTTGATTTAAAAGATCGGTGGCAGAAACATGCTGCAGGCAAACATACGTTTTGCTCCCGGGGACTCCATCCCCGCTGGGTACTCACTGTTAGACGGCAACGTGTACGCGTAGATGCAAAAGCATCACAAAATGCTATAGGCATGCTTGGTGTCTCCTTTTAGGGGCATGTCGAGCACTGACGTATTTGCCCGTCGGGGTTTTGTACGGTACGTGCGGCTTCCGATTTTCGCACGAACTTCGCGGCCAATATTTTGCTGGGCAAACTCTTCACGTTGACCGGGCAGCCGCCAATCCCATGCATTAGTCACTGCCATTGCTTTTTAAACACAAGGTGCAAGGGAACTCTCGAAAATTACCCCCCGAATTTCCCCTCCCCCGCCTCATTTCGCAGGCCTCATCGCTGGGAGCTGCTGCAACTCCCTAGGCGCGGGGATTGCGCAGAGAATCCCGCAGAGTATCCCGAGCGCCCGCCAAGAATCCCACAAGTAGTTTCGGGCGTCTTGCTGGTATGATGTTCGGGTGACACATTCGCAAGCGCTGGCTATGTGACATTGTGGGAGGGTGCGGCCAAGATCGACATCCAAAACAAGGGATCCCGAAGGTTTCCTTGGGATTTATAGTCCCATGTTTTGGCTCCATGCTTTTTAGGGGCCCCCGGCAGAGGGGCAGACGGGGGCTCCCGAGTTGTGCTCCGGTGAGGTCTCCATGGCATGTCGGTAGCTTCTAAGTTAGCCTCCGGAATCCGCAACCTTTGGGTTTTTGAGAAGAGACGAAGAATAACCAGTTTAATAGTTGACCGCTTTGTGTCAAACTCAAGCGACCCCACCGAATCTTCTGGTAACTCTGAGCCTCCCCAGGCGGGCTTCAGAGCGCGCACGGCGAAAGCGCGGTTCGCAAGGAGCTGGAGGAGGACTACCAGGCCAGCCCCCCCCCCTCCTCCTCCTAAGGCCCGGGAGGCATACGTTTCGAAGTCTAGGGTTTTGGATCCCCAATACCCAGCCCCCCCCCCCCCCCCAAAGCATCTCAGTCCAGAAATCCTAGAGCCCGGACACAGGTAGTGAGCGGCTTTGTCGAGAAGCCTGGCCTCCTGCGTGTGGAGTACGAGGTGGGCCTACTGAGCCATCGATAAAGCCCCCCTTACGCCCAAAGCCCAAACCCAAAAACCCGTAGCCCCTATAGGGGCTTGTGGGTTTTTTACAGGGTATATATGCGCCATCATGGGGCTCATTAGATTCACTCTGTCCTGCGGGGGGCTAAGTTGTGGGGTTTCTTGGAGAGATGGTCGCATCCAGCCAATAAGGGCTGTAGCGCCGTTAGAGTTTGGTCAAGACACTGGTTTCAGGGTCTACAAGGGTCCCTGGGCTCCCGGGACTTTTCATTGGGTTGTTCTGGGGCCAAAGAGTCAGGTGTGTTTCAAGCGTGGGCCATGGCGTTCATCGGCCAGTCCGCTCCACGATGCTCCTGCGTGATTGCCTATTGCAGTTCTGCTTAGACCCTAAACCCTCAACCCTAACCCCTAAACCCTAAACCCTTTCAACCTAAACCCTACCCCTACACCCTAAACCGTAAACCGTAAGCCCAAACCCTAGGTATAGCCCTAAAACTCACACCACAAGTAAAGGGGGGACCTCTGAACCCTAAGCCCTAAACATCAGGACCCTAAACCCCAAACCCCAAACCGTTAAACCGGGGGGGGGGGCGGGACCATCCTCGGGTGAGCTGCCCTCTTTGCGCGCGCAGGCTCCCGAAGTGCTCAGCCGCGGCCAGGTCTTCCTGGATGCGTCCACTGGGCTGGGAGGCTGGGAGGGTTGAAGGGGCAAGGCGTCTCAACAAATTTCTGGCATCCGCCGACCCCTGGAGCCCCAAGGCCCTACAACCTCCCAAATCCCGCAAAATCCTGGGACCCTAAAAAACCATCAAACAGCCCAAAAACCCTAAACCCTAAACATCAATAGGGATTATCGTACCCCCCCATTATAATATAATCCCTTTAAGGACCGTTAGTATAGGGGGGAACATCCCTACAACCCTGAATCCCCAAACGTTTTGGAGGCAGGGTGGAGCTTCCGGCGGCCTTGGGCGGGGAGGCTTCCGCACGCGGCGTTTTTTGATTCCTGAACATCTGGGGTTTAGGGCTTAGGGCTTCAGGACGCAGATTTTGTGCGTGGATGTATGTATGTATATATATATATATACATATGTATATACACAGCGGAATGCACAGGAAGCTGCAGAACTCGGAGGCTTAGGATTCAGCGTTCAGGGTTTAGTTAAGGTTCAAGAGTACAGGGGTGTAGAGGTTTGAGAAGCCCTGAAAACCCAAGTCCTTAAACTCTCGACTCGTTAAAGCCAAGACCGAAAGCCCCAAGACCGAGAGCCCCAAGGCCAAGCTTGCCCCCCAAACCCCCCCTAACCCCCCCGGCCAAACCCCAACAAAGCAACCCGTTTAGAATAAGCCCCGTGCCTAAAGCATAGAGTGTGGACATACCCCATGCTTTCGGGCATCTGAGGGCACATAGGTGAGCAACTTCGGTATGACCCCCTAAGCCCTCAACCCCAAACCCTAAACCCTAAACCCTAAACCCCAAAACCCTAAACCCCAAAACCCTAAAACCCTAAACCCTAAACACCCATCTTAAGTGAGCAAGCTCCGAAACCCATGGGCGCAGGTGCTCTTCCACGGGCCGAAAGGCACCGAGCGGTGGCGAGTCCTCGAGCGGCCCGCCTGGGGGGTGTTGGGGGGAGGATCTCGGGCCAGTACTCTGAAGTGTGGTCCGTGTGGTCCTTTAGTCAAGCTCTGTACTCTACATCTATATCTTCTATATCTATATCTATATCCATATCTATATCTATATCTAAATGTAGAGATATATAGATAGATGTGTATATATATATATATATATACATAGTCGCAAGTCCAGAGAGGACCGCATGTTTGAGACTTGTACTTCTATAGGCTTCAGGGCCTTCGCAAGGACATGACAGGTCTGGGGCCAGTTGTTGAGTTTTTCTGTTTGTTATCGTTAGAGTATGTTGGTCCGACCTCTTCGTGCTGTAAAGCTGAGGCCCTCCGAAGCCCTACTAAGAGCCCCAATGCCGCAGCTGCCCTGGCCAAGGTGGGGCTTCGACCCCTTCACCCCAGGAGCCCCTGCAACTTGCGAGGACGGGAAGACGGAGAGGGAGAGGGAGCCTTCCAGCAAGAAGAGGAAGAGGAGGGAACAGCTTAAGAGGAAGAGAAGAAACAAGATGCGCAGCTGCCTGCTGATTTCAACATCGCGGTGTATCTGTGATAGTTTACAGTCAGAGCGCCCCAGCTGTCGCTCGCCGCCTCGACCCGAAAAGCCTTGAACCCAACCGCCCGACGCAGCCGTGTCTCGAATGGAGCGACCCTCCCTGACCAAAGGGCAAGCAAAAAAACGCGTTAGAGACAGCTTTTAGAGCATCCTTTTCTCGGAGCCATGACGGGCCACCTTGCCTTGGGCTACGCTTGCTGCTTGATCGCCAGCGTCGCCTATGCGGTGAACTACCCGTGAAGAAGTACGACACGGGGGACGGGGTCTTCTTTGCCTTCGCTATGTCACTGGGGATCTTGATTGTTGGCCTGGTCTTGGGCTTCACGCAGCACGAGCCCTTAGCCTTCGAGCCCCTGGCCGCGGTGGGTGGAGTCATCTTCACGCTGGGAAACCTCCTGTGCCCTTTGGTGATCCAGCTGATTGGCCTGGGCCTAGGTTTGACGATCTGGGATCTCAGCAACATGCTCATGGGCTGGGTCACGGGGCGCTTTGGCCTGTTTGGGGTGGACAAGGAGATCTCGGCGAGGCCCATCTTCAACTACTCCGGCTTAGCACTGGCCTGTGTTTCCTTGGTCTTCATGTATCTGGCGGCACGCTTTGACAGGAAGCCGAAGGAGGCCTCCGCGGACGTCGAGGATGTCGAGGATGTCGAGGATGTCGTGGCGCCAGACGAGAGCAAGGTGGCCGCGCAGGAGAAGCAAGCGGGCCCGGCGGCGGCGGGCTTGGAGAGTGAAAGCCCCATGAGATTGGTCATGGGCTCGGCCATGGCTGTTCTCGCCGGCATTCTCTTCGGGACGATGTTCGACCTTCCCCAGGACCTGATGCAGGGGAAGTTCGGCCAGTCATTGTGCTCTGGACTACGTGTTCAGCCACTTCCTGGGGATCTTTGTCGCAGCAGCTGTGGCGTTGCTCATTTACATCATGGTTCGGCGGAGGAGGAGCTACGTCCCCTTGAGGCTTGTACTCCCGGCCATGTGCTCGGGCATGATTTGGGCCGTTGGCACGGTTGCTTGGTTTGAGGCCAACGGTGAGCTGGGCTTCTCAGTGACGTTTCCAATCATCGGCAGTTAGCATCTTGGCTCTCTTGATCGGCTTCTGCTTCTTCGGCGAGCTTCAAAGCTCGAAGAGCCGCGGGTTCGCACTGATGGGCGTGCTGATTCGCCTGCCGGGGGTGGCCCTCATCGCGCTCTCCCGATTCTAGCAGGAGGTTTGGGGACTTTGGGAGGAGACGGGGTTGTGTTCGCATGTGGCTACAGAAGGCTGGAGCTTCGGCATTGCCGCTCCTGTACAGACCAGCCGCTCGTGTACAGACCAGCCGCATCCAGGTGGCGTGGGGTCACCGGATCTGTGCATCTCAAGATCAGCTCGTCTAAACCACAACATTTCATGTACTACACATGTTCATATATACAATTATACACAGATACACGCATGTCTCACTGGTATCGCAGGCGAGCCCAGTGGTGTAAGTACCAAAATTCCAGCTGGTGTCAGGCAGCGTGGAGAATGCTCCTTCCTCACCATTGTACAGGCATGCTGGACGCTTGCAAAAGGCCTGTCTCCGTCGCCTGGCCTAGACAATCCAAATCCTGAACCCGAAAACAAGATGTGAAACTCAACCCTATAAGGCTGATAAGGACTAAACCCCATCCGGCTGCTCCGGACATTACTTGCCTAGCAGTTGAAGGACAACTTCGGTGCAAGTTGTCTACGGAAGTCGGATGTCATTGGCACGCCTCTTCACCTAGTAGCCGCTACTCTCTTACGGGTGGTATGTCGGGGGCCTGATGCCCGAAGGTGAAGAGTATATGACGAAATGACACCCCCGTCACGATCAGAGTTCAGAGTATACATTCCAAAGCAGCCCAAGCCCTGAGCCATTGCAAAGGGAGCAGGGGCTCACAAGGGTCACCTTACGTTACCCCAAATCGTCTGAGATTTACTTGCCTCCTAACCCTGTCTTTCACTTTGTATTCAGAAATTTGCCACTAAACGACCCCGAGCCCTGCAGGAACCCTGGCTACCCCAATGCCCCAAACCCTAAACTCTACAGCTTTCTCCCCGTGTCGCGAGGAAGCCCTCCCTCCCGAGACGCTCCGTCCCCAAGTTGACCTGGTCGACGAGGAGCTGGGGTCGTTTGTGGCAGTTCAGGTTGTGGGGATAGTCCGGTGTTCAGGGTTTGGGGGCAAATGTCGGGACCAGTGAAAGAGTGGAGGGTTGAGGGTTGCTTAGTGTCGAGGCCGTTAGGGTATATAGGGTTGGTAGCTTGTTTGCTTCTTCACCTGTGGACCCAGGCTCGCATCCAAGTGAGAAAAGATGCGCCTAGTGGCACGCGCACATTCCTGCAATCGACCTATTGGACGACGTACTGACTAGCCAAACAGGTGAACCCCTCAACCCCTACAGAATCGACAAGTACCCAACAAAAATCAGCAAAAAGACCTGGCAACCTTTTCAGCACAATCAGACAGACGCCCAGAGGGCCCTGGGGCAAAGACACTGCAGGAGCCTCTCCCGAAGAAGAGGAAGGAAGACCATCCCAGCGCCGACAAGGCATCCGGTCCTAGGTTTTCTTTGTGGTCGAGACCCCTCCGAATGCCCCCCCCCCACCAGGAATGTTTTGATATGGACGAGAGACAACCGGATCAGGGTCCTTGGTGTTTAGGATCAAATGATTTTAGTGAAGCCGACCGCGCCGTATCAGGACACTGGATCCTTGAAGAGAAGCACAGAGACAAAAGCGAAGCTAAATCCTTGTCTTCACAGCATGCTAAGGCTTTAGGAATTTAGGGATTGGGCTTAGGCTTCGGGTCTAGCGGTGAGCCATGCATCGTCGGTTTAAGGGAGGAGGTCTCCGTAAGAACTTCGGGGTCCAGGATGAAAAAGGGTTTTTAAGAGTTTCAGGTGTTAGGAAGCTTTTCGAGCATCCGGTTGATGTTCTTGAGGGGCACACCGTGGCCGACTCGACCGGGCCGTGTCTCGAATGGAGCGACCCTCCCTTACCCAAAGGGCAAGCGAAAAAAACGCGTTAGAGACAGCTTTTAGAGCATCTTTTTCTCGGAGCCATGACGGGCCACCTTGCCTTGGGCTATGCTTGCTGCTTGATCGCCAGCGTCGCCTATGCGGTGAACTACTTGCCCGTGAAGAAGTACGACACGGGGGACGGGGTCTTCTTCGCCTTCGC